ATTAATCATTTCCTGAGTAGGAAAAATTAATGGATATTGATGGAGTAAAGAGACACTCCATAAATACCACATGTCATCTTCAAGAAATGTTTTTCCCAGTAAAATTCCAAAGATGTTTAAAAAGGGTGTGTCTGGATTAAACCAGTTTGACTTGGGTGAAATATGGTGTTTGTGCAAGGAGGCTGCTAAATAAGAAAGCATGTGTTGTCTGGCAAAATTTTGTAGGGTTGCAGGAGAAACAGGATAGTCTGGTGTGATTTCTGGAGGAAATTGTTTTTTCCAAGGATTAGGTTGAGAGGATGAGGATGATGGCTCATTCGTTTTTTTTTTGAATTCGATTTTGGTCAATCATTGAATTGAATGTGAATGAAACGGGAATATCTTCTAGTTCTATATAGTCTAGTTCTATATAGTATCTTTTTATCACACGTCGTAAACGTAAATATCACATATAATTATAACTATTCATTTTTTTTTATTTTCTATTTCTTTTCGAATATCTATTCTAATATCTATATATATTGATGGTTACTAAGTAGATTATCTTGAGCCGCAGTAGATGTGCGGCAAGCTAAACGAAAAATACTATTTTTTAGAAAACAACCAGTCAATGGTGGCCTTCCATGGATTCACCTATATAAGCCGCAGCTAAAGTAGCAAAAATTAGAGCTTGAATACCGCTTGTAAATAATCCAAGGAACATGACAGGTATAGGAACTACTAAAGGTACTAACGAAACAAGAACAACAACTACTAATTCATCAGCTAATATATTTCCGAAAAGTCGAAAACTAAGTGATAAGGGTTTTGTGAAATCTTCTAAGATGTTAATCGGTAAAAGGATTGGAGTTGGTTGGATGTATTTACTAAAATAAGCTAATCCTTTTTTTGAAAGACCCGCATAGAAATATGCAACAGATGTAAGTAAAGCTAATGCAACGGTAGTATTTATATCGTTTGTGGGTGCAGCTAATTCCCCATGAGGTAATTGTATGATTTTCCAAGGCAAAAGAGCCCCTGACCAATTAGAAACAAAAATAAATAGAAACATAGTTCCAATAAAAGGAACCCACGGACCATATTCTTCTCCAATCTGAGTTTTGCTCACGTCTCGAATGAATTCAAGAACATATTCAAAGAAATTCTGACCGAAAGTGGGAATGGTTTGCAGATTTCGAATAACTAGAATGGCTGAAACTAATAAGAAAGCAATTACAACCCAAGAAGTAATAAGTACTTGGGCATGTACTTGGAAACTCCCTATTTGCCAATAGAAATGTTGACCTACTTCTACAGCAGATATATCGTATAATCTTTTGAATGTGTTGATAGAACATAATAAAACATTCATATTGTCCTGCCCTCTAAAAAAATAAGAACTTAAAAGGGAATTATTTTGATTCATCATGCTTAACTGCTTTGACTTTTTAATACCCACCACACAATGACACATTTCTATGTATTAATGTTGTATAATTCGAATGGAATTAGATTTAGTATTTAAGGTTTTAAGTTTGAATTTTTTTAAATTAATTATCAATTAAAAATGAAAGACATTTTTCATATCAAATTGCGTGATTGACCCGATTAGTCAGACTTTGAAAGACTTGCGTTTCGAGTAACAATATTTTCACGCCACCTCTTCTCAAACACTTCTTAATATTTCGTTTGAAATAAGAGTGAAATTAATATAGAAAATAAATAAATAAATAAAAATAATTCTCCTACTGACCAATCCGATAACACTGTTTATTGTTGTTTGTTTCTAATTTGATGATAGTTGAATCCTAACTTAAATCATTAATTTGATGATAGTATAATATGTTCTCTCCATTTTAATCTATCTATTGTTTAACTAATTAATATGCACATGCATTTTAAAAATTATTAGTTGTATAAATTAATATGATAAAGTAATCTTTGACAAAAATACATGTGGTATTAAAAGAGCTTTTTTTATGACTCGGTATTAAAAGAGTTAAAGTATAATGATGAAAAAATAAATTAGTATTTAGGATGGATAATAAAATATAACAGTATTTTAAAATATAAGTTTTTTATAAATAAAAAAAATTCAAATTATCAATTAAATAAAAATCATCATTGGTTGTATTGATTTTAAGATAATGTTAGAATTATTTATATTCTCAAAGCAAAACTATTTATTATTCTTTAAAAAATAAATTAATTCCTTACTGATTTTCACATTGATAAATATTTTTTTATTATAAGTGTTGAGAACACTCCTCTGTACTGACTGCACACAATGGAACAACCCAAGCATCCAAGGATTTAAATGAAACACATGCTATAGTTTTACTTTTTTACTCTAAATATAAAGTTAAACTGTAATATAAAATTTCAATACAATTATTCAATTAACATCTCAATCTTTTTTTAAAAAAAATCTCTAGAAGAAGTAAAAAAAAAAAATCGACAAACTTGTAAATTTAAACTATTTTAAAAAGTACAAATTTCTAAAATATTTTTTCTTGAATCTCTACATTTTATATTTATTTTAAAATTTAAAGTATTCAGTAAAAGAACTTTTATGGCGTCTAAAGACGTTGTAAGGGCTTAACAGAGGTGGTAAGGCACTCTCGATCTGAGCATCCTCTAGAACTCGGGAATACTCAATCAAATTTTCAAGTTTATCTGATAGGGTTTGTTTACAAGACTTTGGGATTGTAAGGTTGATTTGTGAGGAGTGGGTTATAGAAGGACGTGGGTTATCTGTTTGCAGGTCACTCATGTTGTGTAAATCTTTCCTTACTCACTTTCTTCTATGTAATTATACCTTATACCCCTTCAAAAAGAGAGAAATACTTTGCTAGTGCATTTAGGCTCTGATACCATTCTGGACGGGAGCCATATATGCTATTAACATCATTATAAAACTCATATCATTAAGTATAATTATAATTAAGATTTCACGACCGAGCTTTTCCGCACCCTTAGCATACTTTCTCAGGTCCTGTTACTTTCTTAATCATAGCTATATTAATAATAAGAATTATAATTCTGATACTAATAACAATAAGACCGTTCAAAAGGATCGTTGATCAAATACATTTCTGATGCACAGGTTCCATTTTCATGGCAAGTGTAGAGCATACTCTATATCTAATAGTAGAGCAAAGTATTCTCTCATGGAAGGAAGTCTAAGACATAATTACAAGAATAGAGTTTTCAGGAAAGAGAGAAGTGTTTAGAAACTCATGATAGTATAAAACAGAAGTTTTATTTAGGGTTGAAGTTCTCTTCCCCTCAACATTTCACAAGTCTTGCTTATATAGAGGAGCCGAGCTACCGGACTTGAAATCCTCATGAAGCAAGTTTAAGACCATTACCGTCATGCGTGACGTCATTACAAACTAGTACAATGACTCATGCTTATAGTACAATGATTCACACCTAATGACTCACCATTGTCTTGTACTTAAAGATGTTAAGTCACATTTGTCAACACAAAACGATAAATACACACAGCTGGCTAGAGATGTTAGATCACATCTGCCGACACAAAACGATAAAATAATACTACTAATACATATCTGAGTACATTATGCTTTTGTTAGGATAAGATTCTTTCAGTCTCCTCGTGCTTTGATGGTCAGAAATATCAATCAGCTCTTGAAGATAGGTTCATGACTTGGAGATAAGTTTGGATCTGAATAACTGAAATCTGAGGCTGAGCTATAAACTCGAGATAAGGTTGGACTGTCAGGATGATTTGTATTATCCTCATGCATAACAATTTATCCACGTGTATCAGCACTTTCAAAAATGAATTGTTCGGCTGGAGCTGTGTTGACTGGTAGACAAACCTTTTTAGCAACACTGTAATAATGTGTATCTGGCTCAGGAGGACAAATGATATCCAATGGTTTTAAATTGGCACATGTAGAATTTCTATTAATGACTTCAGCAAAAGTTCCATTTAGCCTGTGGAGTTCAATGATCAATTCACTCTGATAAAAGGGTGGTTGATCTTCTTGAGTAAACATTTGCAGATTTGGATATGTAGACCACATTTGAACTTGGTTTTGTGTCCATAATAATTTTTTTTTTGGATGTTTCGATTGGCCGAGCTAGGTGGCCGAATGGCCTTGCTAGTACAGAAAATAAATTGTATCTAAAGGGAATTAAACACCTCAAATTCACTTTTTAGTAAATTTATTCAAACGAAAATTACCCATTTCAATAATAATAATAATAATAATAATAATAATTAATTATTCACATAATTGATTATTAAAATAATCCAATTTTAACATTTTTTTTCAAACACTCTCTAAGTACGTGTTTAAAGAAAATTAGTTGTTTGAAAAAAATCTAATATCAAATTTTCACATTTTCTAACTTTTCAGGTATTTTTTTTTTTGGTTCATCCACTTTTGATAGTGGTGATTAATCTCCTTGCTAGGAGGGAGACACCTTAAAGGGTGAGATAGCTGGCCCCAAGATTTAACGCGACTGCATATACAAGGCAGGATTCGAACCCCTGACCTTGTTTAAGCGTGGATCAACCCCTACCGCTAAACCACACGCTTAGGGTTCTTTTCAGGTATTTTTAATTTGAAGAAAAGAATTAGTTGTTACAAAAATTAGCTAAAATTCATAAACCTTTTTTTTTTTTTTTTTGAAAAATAAGTTGTTTATATAAAACTGAAAAATTAAAGCTTATATTCTCAGCAGATTTTTTAAGTTAATTTACCACAAAATATTATTTTTAATTATATCTAAACAAAATTAATTTCTTAAAATTACTTATAAAACAAAATTTTATTTCAATTATAATCGATAATAATAATAATAATCACTTAATTATATAATATTATTAAAATAATCTAATTTTCATGAGTTTCTCAAACACATCTTAAAACTATTTTACATCATTATTTTATGTGAAAAAAACTCAAATAAAAATTGTTGGATAATTTCCTCTAGAAAAGGAAAAGTGATACTGTGAGTTTGCAGGAGCGAGATGAGACATATGACACACATGAGAGGGAAGATACCTTCCTTGTTCCTTCCACACCCTTTGAATGATTCACAGAAGAAGTAAGCAATAACTTGAGATATTCTTGCATTGTCTACCATTTCCAAACCACACAAACATGAAAATGCCTCCTTTTCTTCCTCGTTCATTCTTCTTCTTCTGTTGCTTTCTCCTCCTCCCACTTTTGCTCTTGCTCATGCTCTTGGTTGCACCCTCATCTTCATCTTCATCTTCAAATGACAATAATAATAAGGTAACCGTGTCACTCTACTACGAAAGTTTGTGTCCCTATTGTGCTGATTTCATAGTGAACCATCTCGTGACCCTCTTCCAAACGGATCTCATCTCCATTGTCAACCTCAGAATGGTTCCTTGGGGCAATGCTTGGATTGCACCTGATGGCACTGTCTTTTGTCAGGTTAGTTCCATGTCTTCACTTTTCCTTCCTTTTTCACATTCTTCATTGGTTTTGTTCTTCAATCTCTTCTACTATCAATACCATGTTTGGAAACATGTTCAAAAATTATGTTTTGAGATGTGTAAGCTTTTTATTTTTTTTAAAATTATATCTTAGATGTCTTTAGTATTAAAACTAAACACCTATAGAAACCAATTAGTTTAAAGATAAGATTTAGACTCAATTTCTTGTTTTAGTATTATTTTTCATTTAAAAACTAGAATTTTACTTTGATAGTATGTCTTTATTATATAAATTCTTGAAATGAAATTTTAATTATGTTGAGATCGCAATAAGCCTGTGTTTTTTTTAATAAGAATATAGTGGAACAGTTTTTGAGAAATTAAAATCAGTCAAGCATTTTTTGAAGGACTAAAACTAGAAGTTAGCAAAAAAAATGGGAAACTAAAAATAGAACAAATTTTTTGAGAGACTGACCAGACAAATATTTTTTGAGGGATTAAAATAGAAATTTACAAAAACAATGAGGAGCTAAAAATACAATCAACCCTATTTCTTTTATTTGTTTGTATAGATTGTATTTTAACAAGAAAAAAGCTATTTAAAAAAAAACTTATTTTTCTAAAAATTAATTTTTTAAGAGTCGTTTTCTATAATAATTTTAAATTTTAAACAAAGTGCCCGATATCTAAAAGAAAATGCATATAAATATTTTTAATTAATTTAATATATGATACTCAAGAACAGTCCTTTTTACCGGTATTCATTTTACTTGTTGTCTTCTTTTATCGTGTACTACGATCTTTTAAATTCTTTTAATGAGAGGGTTCTTTTTTATGTATTTAGTTTTTATTCTTAAACTGGGTTCTAGGACATAGGTGGAACCAGAAGTAGAATCTATGATGTTCAAATGAATAAAGTTGTAACAGTGATAGGTCATTTTCTGGGATCAGTAACACATGTCAATTTAAAGGTACTGACACCCTAATAAATGTGGTTGTCCATTCGTTACCCAAATTGAATTCTTCAACAACCCACCAAATTGGTCAATTATTAAGGTTAAAGTAAAAAATAAAAAATAAAATTGTGATACCATGATATCATTGATATGTCAGTTTCTTAATCAAAAGAATGGGTCTTTATTATTTCTCTGTTATTTAGTTTTTCTAAGCCATTAAATTATGTTTTTTTAAATAACCATTATAAACCAGGCTTGATCATTTTTGGCCTTCTCATCATCATTTTTTTTATTTGGGTTTTCCAACAATGAATAATAAATTTATTCAAAAAAATTATCTGTCAAAATCATAATAACAATCCAAATCTAATTTTTGGATTTTTTTTAAATATATCAATTTTTTTTATTTATTTAAATAACCTGGGCACAAGATTATTTACGCAAATAATCAGTAATTGATTTTTCAAAAGGATTTTTAATTTTTTTTTTCAAAATTCCTTTGAGAAATCGGTTACTAACCGATTTCTCACTTGGGTTTTTTTTTCTCATTTTTTGGACATTTTTTGGTTTTTTTTTTCAAATTTGTTTTTTTTTCATTTTTTAATATTCAGATTTTAAAAAAATTATAATGAATTTTTAAAAAATTTATTTATTTTCTGTTTTTATTTTAGATTATAAAAATCTATTTAAAATAAATTATAAAGAATAAAATTTAATAAAATTAATTTTAAATAGAAATTTAAATAAATGAAAAAATTATGATAAATCACAACTTTAAATAAAAAAAACTTTAATTGAGATTAACAACTTTAAATAAAAACAAAATAACAACAACAAAATAGGAGATCAAATAAAAAAGAATAACAACAGAATTACAATCCACGAAATTACAATCCAACTTTGATGATGTCTATGCCCACTAGTTCCACACCTTGGAGGTTGTTGGTTCCTTGTTGGGTTTTGACGACCAATGTGTGGTTGTTGTGGTTCAACTTGCTCCTCATCATGTTCTATATTAATAGTATCAGTGGCTGAATTTGACAAACCACTTGCACCGACCTCAGAGTGATAAGAAGAAAATGAAGGAAAATTCATGCTTTGCATGTAATTATATGCACTTTGTGGCATGTGTACGTCGACGCCGAAAAGATTGCTCATGAAGTCCTCTGTTGGAGTTATTGTTAATGGTGGGGTGTACATGAATTGTTCATGGTGCGTATGAAATGGTGGATTAGACTGGGGATGTTATTCCACACTATAAGGTGGGTGGTTATCTCTAGCCATTGGGAATGTTGTTCCAGTTGTTGTTGGAAGTTGTGTACTAGAAGTGGATGCATGAGATGAAGAATACTGGCTACAAAGAAATAATTTAGAATCAGCATGAAACCATTGCAAATACTCAAGAGTGTGTTGGAGAGGCCCCTGAAGTGGTTCCCCAAAAATAACATGTTTGCGTCTGTCTTTCCAAATAGAAATCCAGTCTGCATGTTGTTCAGCCCAGTTGGTGTCGCTATGTCCTCTCATGTCTATTTCGTGCATTTTATCAAGATTATGAGCTTCATTAGGGATTGGTTGCCATAAGCCAAATTGCAATTGGACTCATTTTGATGCCAGACTACATCTGCAAATGAAGTTAAAGTAGTACAAGAAGTCCATATTCTAGAATCCTTAAAAGCACGTGTTGGTAGTGAGGATTGAAATTCCCTATATGGCATCCATAGAAACTGAAAAAGAAAAATGTTTAGGGTATGAATCAATTGAGTATAATAGAGTATGTTTGAGAGAATTTTACATTGTATTACCTCGTTATGGTTCATATTGTCATATCTTAATTTGTAGCCAAGTAAGTCTCCATGGGGCGTGCTTGAAAATCTTAGCCCTCTTCCTAACCACCTAAAAGATTTGTACATTGATAAAATTCTAGGTAAAAAATTTTGGTTGTTCGATGTATTAAAGTGGTATAAAAATTAATCCATACCTCGATACTAGTGAAAATGTAGTATCCCGTTGGACTCTTGGTTGGATGGAGGGTATGTGATACCAAGCCCAAGACTGTAGAAGCAAAGAACATCCACCCATTTTCTTTGACGATGGATAGATTGCCCTACACATTTCTCTGTACAAATGTGCCAAACAAGCAGAACCCCAACTATATTGTACTGCATGTTCCAAGTCAGCCAATAGTGGTAAATACATTAAGTGAATTTTGTTACCTGACTTGTCTGGCATAATGACACCACTGATCAACCCTAAGATATATGCCCTACAATGTTGGTGCAATTGTTGTTCAGTGAGTTCATCTGGTAGTGCAATTGTATGGTCTCTTAACCATTTTAGTTTTATGCTTGAGCCAACTAGAGCTTCCTTTTTTGAAGGTACGAAGCCTAACAACTCGTAACACAATTCATCCTAGTCAAAGAAAGTTGGTCCTGTGACTGGTTTGCCGTCGATCCTTAAACTCAATTGTAGTGCCACATCTTCTAAAGTGACCGTGCACTCATCAACTGGGAGGTGAAAAGTATGTGTCTCAAGTCTCCACCTCTCCACCAAAGACGTTATCAAACAATCATCAATTTTAAAATGTCTTATTTTCACAACCTCGTCAAAGCCAGCAACCTCCAACAAATGCTCAATTCTTGGGTCAAGTGTAGGCTTGGAACGATAGTAAGATTGAATCACTTGATCACTTGTCTGTGAAAATGGTAGAATTGGAATGTTAGTAATGAATAATATTAGTTGTAAACATTATGCAATATATATTAACTTATCATAAGATGAGTTTCATTTGACCTATGGAGGTGTTGTTTCCACAACATAGTTGAAGATGAAGAAGACATTCTTGAAAAACAATAGCAAAGAAATTGAAGAGTGTAATAGCTGAAGAGAATTGATATTTTTTTGTGTGTTTAGGCTTGGATCGTATGTAGTGTATATATAGTGCAAAAAATTTGAATTAGTTTGTCTCATTGCATAAAGAAATCCAATGACTTTGTGCAATGTTATCAATTACTTTGTCCTAGAGCGTTAGAAAAATTAATGACTTTGTGCAGAGTGTCATCAATTTCTTTGTCCCAGAGCTTTAGAAAAGTTATTGACTTTGTGCAGAGTGTCATCAATTACTTTGTCCCAGAGCGTCATAAAAATTAATGACTTTGTGCAGAGTGTCATCAATTGCTTTGTCCTAGAGCGTTAGAAAAATTAATGTTTTGTGCATAGTGTCATTGCCTTGGTCCCAGAGCATCAGAAAAATAATGCTTTGTGCAGAGCGTCAGGAATCCAATGACTTTGTGTTTGTCCACATTAGGTTGCTTTAGTTCTATATAAACCCTAAACACACGCTAAAAAAATGCAACAGATTGAAACATCCAATCAATGGAGTCGTTAACTGTTCCAGCCACTGTTTACTATGATGGACAAATTGTTTCCATTGAGCATGGAGATACATTTTTTAGCAACAAGGTTAAAACCCTACTGGTAAGCAACATGATGACTTATCAGCAACTTAAGCAGGTTATTAATAATAACCTTAATCTTCTTCATTACAAAGTTGTCATAGATATTCACTACCGATACCCAAATTCATGTATCGATGGTGTATATAAATATACAATGTGTCGTCTTAGGGATGATGAAGATGTGGAGTGTATGTTTTCATTGTTCACAGAACTGCACGACCTAACAAGTCTCGAATTGTATGCTACCACGACGTATATTAGATTATTGCATGGGATGGAAGTGATTGAAAAATACCTTGACCAAGCGATAAAGTTAGACAACTAATGTTATATGATTTAGGTTTTATGTTATTTATCTATTATGTTTGAAGTTTGTTTAAATTGTGTCTTTTTTTTAATTTATTTTCATTTTAATGATGTAACGTTAAAATTAGTGTACTTAATATATATTTATTATTATATTACAGTTTTCAATTTTCTATATTAATAAATTTAATTTAAATAATAAAATTCATTTTATAATTCTAAAATTTAGTATAAGAAATAAGTTTTAAAATTTTATTTATTTTTAACATAATTTTAAAATATTATACAAAATTTTATAATTTTATATATAATTCTGAAAATTATAATTAACTATATTTATTTTTAAAAAGTTTAAAATCAGAAATATTATAATTTATAAATAAATATAATATTAATTTTATTATTAATTATTATCTTTTATAAATTATTTAATTTAAATATTAAATATATTTCTTAAAATTAATTATAATTTCTTAAAAATATGAAAATCAAAAAGTGAATATATTTTTTTATTTTACAAAATATGAAAAAAAAAACGAAAAAAAAAATCCCATTCAAAATCCCTTTGAGAAATCGGTTACCCAGTAACCGATTTCTCACTTGGGCTTCAAAGTAGGTTATTTAGGTAAATAATAACCAGCCCAGATTATTTAAATAAATAAAAAATTGATATATTAAAAAAAAAGTCAATTTTTTTGTGCATAATGCATATACTATCTTGATTCTTCATCCATTATTAAGCTGATTCTAACAGTGTATACAAATTAAAGAAAAATATTGTTTCTTTAGTATCATATGAAATGTCTATTTCATTCACACACACAAAATGAAATGGCTATTACTTTCTCTTTTTTTTTTTTTTTTTAATATAATTTAATTTTATTATTTTGCAATTTTTCTTCCTTTAATTTGCAGCATGGAGACGATGAATGCTTTCTAAACACGATCGAGGCCTGCGCTATTGCAATCTATCCTGATGTGGTAAAATTCCTACAAGCATTTTTTAAATCTATTTTTTTTATTGTTCTCCTAGTTTTAAGAATGTTTAATTTTAATCTATAATTTCCTTTATTACAAATTTTTTAATTTTCAAAATTAAGTATTGTTAGTGTACCATAAACATAATACTTAAACAGAAAACATTGATATGGAATGTGAGTGATATTATTCCACAATTACTTAGTTACACCAACTTTTAAAAGAAACAACCTTATTTTTAACATATATATATATGTTATATTTCTTTTTATTTTAATTAAATTTTATAATCTATTAAAATAATTTTATTTTTTATTTTTAATATTATTATTTTGATATGTGACTAATTAATTATTAGGTAGTATATCACATCCCATATCAATATTTTTTATTTTATTTTAGATGACATGTTAATAGTCGACCAATTTTGCTTAATTTTAAAAATTAAGAAGACTAAATTTGTAATAAAATTTTTTAAAAGACTAAAATTACACATTTGAAAAAATATAGGGATCGAAAGTGAATTAAAGTCTTTTATTTTTCTTAGTACCTTCTGTGTTCTATTAAACAAATCAACTAGGTATTAATAAGTTTAATACATCAATTAATATTTTAATTTTTTAATTAAGTTTTCAAACTTAAAAAATTGTAATTAGATTCTTGACATTTTTTTATATATTTTTTTTTGTAATCGAATCTCTGGAGTTAATTTGTGATGATGATTTTAAATTGTTACAAAAGTAAAAATTTGTAACGATTTTATTAATTACAAAGATGAATCATCCAATTACAAATGCTTTTAATTTAAAGATTTAATTAAAAATTTTCAAAATGTATATGGAACTATATACAACATATTAAACCATATTAGTACACTGTTTTGTTTGTGGATTAATTTCTCAATAGTTTAATTTTACTAGCTAATTGTGCAATGATTTTATAATGGATGTCATAGGACATGCTAATTAGCTAGTCACTGCTATAGCCATAGTGTGAAGGGGATAATGCACAACATTTTGAATTGCAAACAAAAGTCAAATAGATGCATGCACTATGCTAGTGTAATGTGTTGGTGTTAAGTAATAATAAGTGCAATTATGATGCACTGAGTTGCAGGTACAACATTTCAAATTTATACGGTGTTTGGAGCGTCTAACCTTAGAGGGGAGACATAGCCAATGGGTTAACTGCTTCCAAATGACTGGGTTGGGCACATCACCTATTAACTGCTATACTAGTGGCAATGGAAAAACTGTGAGTACTCTTTTGTTTCTTTTTCCTTAATTTCCATCAACTGCTATGTATACACACCAATGCCATTTACCAACCTCTTTTCTTGCTTAAGCAATTTGAGGCTAATTTTCATGTGACTAACATACACTTTTCTTTCTAAAAGTGAATTTCATGTTGCTTTGATTCTTCAATGTGCATGTCTATACAAACTCTTTCTAAAAGTGTGTACCTACTAATTAAGAGCAACTGTTTGATATATGAGAGTTTTCTTAATAGCACTACTTAACAATAAAATATTATTTTCATATCTTATTTGTGATTTTAAAATACTAATTATAGAGTAAATATTATTTTGATATCTTGTTTGTGATTTAAATTACTTAAAAAATTATAGAGTTGTTTAATGTTCTTGTGTATGTGTAGGAGAAAAAATATAAGATGTTAAAGAGAGAGAATATTTTTTAGTTAAGCAACTTGTAGATAAAAATTTCCATTAGAATGAAAATTCATTGGATTACTTAAAATTATGGTGATATGTATGAGCCCATTTAATAGGATAAAGTGAGTTGCTTATATGAAGAAAATTGGAGCAACTTTAACGAGTTTGTCCAATCAAGTTGTAAATTTGATTTTTTTTTTAATTATATAAACTATTTATTTTTTTATTTTTTTATGCATAACAATCAGATTGACCAAAAATTTGCAAAGGAAACTTCTCAGCTTAATCCTCCCCACAGATTTGTTCCATGGGTGGTTGTCAACAACCAAGCACTCCAAGAGGTTTGTGATGATATATATGAAAGAATAATGTGTACAATCAACCCAAATGAGTTATACCTAAATGAATATATATCTAACCTCTTTGCCTTTTTCCTGTGGTTGCAGGACTACAGAAATTTTGTGGCCTATATTTGTAGGGCTTACAAAGGCAATGTGATACCAAATGCTTGTAGATCACAACTTTCCACAAAAACTTATGACTCAAAGGAAAACGTTAATTCCTTTCAACCTGTTTGCTATGTAGATGAAACAAGAAATCTGACCTTACCATTGGTCACCGGATTAAGAAGTAAATCCCCAAGAAATTGATGAAGTTAGAATATAGTATTTGAATAGAGTGATTCATGATTTATAACTCCATTTTAATTCTCTCTCCCTTAATCGTGTTAACGGTTGCTGTAAACTCTCATATGATGATGCATCATCACCTTATATAAATTTTAGTTTAGTTCCTATAAATACTTCTATTATAATCTGTTTTTATTTATTCATTTTAGTCCTCGACTCTTTAGTTACGACGATTTCGCAACGAAAAGGGAATAATGCCAGAAAAATTAAATATTATGGGGATTATTTTAATGTTTTCGAAAGACTAAAATAAAAATAGATATGTTTAAAAGACAAAAAAATATATTTAAGCATGACATTATCAACTTATATGTTCTTTTAAGAAAATAAAAAATAAATAAGGTAAGCCGAGAAAATTATTATTATTTTTAAAAAAATAATTTTTTTTCTAGGGGTGTTTTGTAGAAAGTTTTTTGTATGTCCAAGAATCATAAATCTTAACAATTATAATTTACGACCATGACGAAATTATGTTTGGTTGATGGTAAATATTTTAAAAAAATATTTATAAATGTTATTTGAGAATCAAATATTTTTATTATATTAAATATTAAATTAAGATAATGTTATACTTTTGTCATTGTAAATTTTTCTTATAATTCATGATTCGTGAATCTTAGATTCCACCTCTTCCATAGAAACAATTTTGCCAACAAAAAGTGTAAAAATCATTCTCAAAAGCCAAAGTTTCTTAGTAATATTATTTAAAAAGTAACATCAAATATGAAAAACTAAGTGAATTTTTTTTATATATAAAACACTTCTATAGTATAATGAACATTAATTTAAAGGAAGATGAATGTAATCCTATATATCTTTTATAATAATTATAATATTAATATAAATTATTCACTATTAAAAATAGTGACTAATCTTTAACGAAGATAAAAAAAATATCATCTCTATTCCATACTAAAACTTGGATTTAAACCTTGAAACCTATATATCAAACCTAATTTTTTAAATAATAATTGTGGGGGTAAAAATGGAATAAAAAATGTGTTGGACAGGCCTAGTCTAAAAATTAATTTGCAAAAGTAGGCCTTTCTCAATATTTATTGGCATATGAATTCCCTAAATTAAACCCGTACATTTAGAACATAAAAGATAATTATATACAACCATTACCATAAATTTCTCTATCACGGATAGGATAGAGACAAAAAAAGACAGAAATGAAAGAATGAAATCAAATGTAATTTTACATGGATAGATATGCAAATCGCAAACTGAAGCCAAAAGAAAAAGAAGAAAGAGAAAAAATAAACAAACTATAAACTAGAAAGTAGGAACTGTTAAAGGACAAAAGGAATATCCACACTTTGTGGTTGGTAACTGGTAAATAAGACACAGAAGGGAGAAGGAGTTACAAGGGCAAGATATATAAACAAGGATAAACAGACGGGAATAATTATGTTACCATGTAGCTTGAAGCTTTTTTTTTTTTTTTTGTGGGGTTAAGTAATCTTAACACAATAAATTGGAATAATTATGTTATCATGTAGCTTGAAGCTTATTTTTTTGTGGGGTTAAGTAATCTTAACACAATAAATTAAATTGTTGTTAAAGTGGAATTCAACATACTTTCTTTAAATAATTTTATATTCAAGTATTATGAATGAATAAAACATAGTTAGGAAGAAAAATCTTATTACACGAGATAAGTAATTTACTCTCATTAAAGATGGTTAGGATTTTTAATGAAAATTTGTTATTGATAAAGTTAATGAATATTTTGTATTAATAATATAATTATTAAAAAATAAAGTTAATATAAACATTACATATATACAATACATATTTGATATGGAAATATGATTATTTTAAAATATGTAGAATACTATATGTATAAGTACATGTCTTCATATGTATCAATATTTATAAAATATAATAAATATGTAATTGCAATTTTGATCAAAAATCCATAAATATAATAATATATATTTGTAATTTTGTAAATCCAAATTAAAAACATTCTTCTCGTACATTCTTAAAAATAATTAAATTATAAATCATTTCATCATAAATTACTTCATATTATTTACGAATAGAAATAATACTAATAATGTTATTTATTTCTTAAAATCATCAATATAAGAGACAATTTTATTTTTAGTTTATCAAGGGACAATATTTCTATATTACACATGTTTATATGTCTTTTTATTATTATTTTTATACATGAATGCATGTTATATGTCTGTTTTACTTGTAATAGATATTTCATAATTTTATCATATGTCTTATTTACTTGTAATAATAGATATTTTAAACTATATAAGATACAATATTGTAAAATTACACTCTTCTCTTACAAGAGATACGTCTATTACACTAAACTCTCCTTTTCAATATATGATGCTTTATCCATTTTTTTTAAAAATTTTCATTAAAGTTTCATTAACTTCTGTTGCAAAAAGAGTTATTACAAAAATGTCCTTAGAGATGTAAATATTACAACATCTTTTCTTCTTGTGTTAAAATAAACATTTCCTCCCTTAATAAATTCAAATATGTTACATTTTAACAATTTATCTCTTCATTAACATATTTAATTATTACTTTGAAAATTATTATGAATTTTATTAAAATTAATTATATATTTAATAAATATTTTTTCATTATTATTTTCGTAAAATATTTTTAAAGTTATATATTAAAATAAAAATAATATATATATATAATAAAATCAAATATATATATACATATTAAAATAATATTTAATCAATAAAATTAATGTAATATTTTTAAATATTTAAATAAAATATCATTTTCATTATATAGTATTAATTATATATATATTGAAGTTAATATATAACAACTAATGTATTATATTAAATTTCTATTGTGTATTCCATAAATTTAAATACCACATACTACACTAATTTGTAATAAAGAATCTTATCAACTAGATGGTGGATACTAAAATAAATATTCTATCTATTGAGGTAATAAAAATAATATATATATATATATATATATATATATATATATGTATATATATATATATATATATTATATAAACT